TCCTGCTCCACTCTGAGTTTTTAGAGCGGTCGGACTCAGCTTTAAATGGGAAAAAGTAAACCAGAGGGATGTTATTTGGTGATTACTACCCTCGTCTTGACTGCCTTCTTATCTAATTACCTTACTTTATTTCTTATGTAATCATCTTAAGTTTTCTATGGATCTATTGTGTGTAAATGAGTTAAAATATATATTTTCTCTCTTATTTTTTTTATTTATTAATTTTTTATATTTATTACAACTGCTAATAAAGTATATAAACAGAGTTTGTCAGTATATAAAATTAAAAAAGAACATATGATCAGTCTGTACATGTTGTCTTTTACTTGTGAACTTCAGCAGTTTCCTTTTCAACAACTCACTTCCTGCCTGAACGGTGGCTCTGCTCCTGATTGACATTGAGTAAGTGGAAAAAATTGACATCTATGCATTTGGTAGGAACACGGCTTTGACTGACCAGAGTTGCTGCAATCAGCTGCGAAACCACAGCGCAGCCGCTGTACGGCTTCTCTGCACCACTTCCACATTCATTGGATCAGGAAGACAAAGATTGCAAAGCACTTCACAGCATATTCACTCACTGATGCTGAGAAGCCACATTGATGCTGCTTGTTTTAAACTCATGTACTCTAATGTGAATTAATTTTACCTTATGTAAACATATTATCATACTTATTTATTGAATAGTTTTGTATTCTTAACTAGAGGATATGCTGTGTTTTATAACCCATTGGGGAGGGGGCACAGTACCAGGCCCAAGTGGAGATTTTATGGCTGACTGTTTTATACACTGAGAAGACCTCATATTTAGATCTTTGCATAGGTGGAAAAAGTACTAAAATATCATACTCAAGTAAAAGTACCAACACTTGGATGAAATATTACTCAAGTACAAGTAAAATTACCCATCAGAAAAATTACTCAAGTAAAAGTAATAAGTAGCTAATTTCAAGTGTATTTTAAGTAAAAGTTACTTAGTTACATAAAAAAAAAAACTGTTGAACGGGGCAGGGGATCTCTCCCATGTAGTGAAAATAGGACAAGGAGTCATAAATCCAAAACTATTTAGTTTTTAATTCAAGAAAAATCTATACAAATGTATACACATGTAATGACAAGATAACACATGTCACACATGACATTTAAGAAACCTTAGAAAGGTATAATGTGCAATTTTAGTTCAGACCATCCCATAAAACTTTTTCAAACAATCAATTGAAGGTAAAAGTGCCATAAATTGTTGGGTCTGAGGGCCGTCCTTCTTTTCGTCAAACATTAACAAGAGTTATTAATAAGCACTATACAAATGCAATAACAACATAAAACATGACATTTAAGACCCATATAAATGTATAATGTGCCATTTTAGCGCAGAACATCCCATAAAATGTTTTCAATGTTTCCACATCAATTGAAAGTGGAATTGCCATGAATTGTTCATTCTGAGAGCCATCCTTCTTTTAACATAAACAGTTATAATGCAAATCAAGGCTAAATACTTACCAAAACATGCTTCCACAGATTAGATGTGGAGTTATTGAATGCTGCCAGTTCAGTCACCTTTGGCAGACACATCTGACATTGCATGATGATACTGTTGGCCCTCTTAAATTTAAATGAAAAGCAGTCTTTCAAATCTGGCCAAGGATTTTCGTCGTTTTGGGTTCAGTTAGCATTTCGAGTGAAAAGTTCTCGCTCTCCTGATCCACCTCCATTTCGTTCCCTATATTCTACAGAAAGACTTGGCGCCTGGTAGCCTAGATCTACATGCTGATCACGTCACTCACTGTAGTGCAATTTTTTTGTCTTCCTTTCGGTTTTCCAAAGTTTTTTTTTTACTCAGTAACGGATGGGATTTGTAATGTAACGAAATACAATACTTCACTCAAAACTTAAATAAGTAAAATTTAAATTACCGATTTTAAAAACTACTTGAAAAATACAAAATACACAAAAAACCTACTCAATACAGTAACTTGAGTAAATGTATTTCGTTACTTTCCACCTCTGGATCTTTGTATCAAATAAAGCACCACAGGGCCTACTGACAACCATGGGGTCTCTAATGTCTATCCGTCATGACTAAGATAGACTAAGGGGAATAGGCTAGAAACAGCAATTACAGGACAAACTTCTTCCTCTTCAATTATTGTCACCCCAAAACAGCTGGATTAACATCAATCAGAAAAAAATGCAAACAGGTAGGCTCTGTTTATTACAAAGTGTCTTTTGAAAACAGTTGCTTGCACAAACTTATTAAGGAGCATCAGAGTTAACGGGCTGCAGCTAATGCATTTATCAATAGCCAGTCAACAACTAATTTTGTAAGACACTAAATAAGTAAAATGCTATTTAAAACAGTGCAAACTACCTCACTGAAAGAATATTTAGCTGCTGCTTCCATCGAAGGATCAGAACAGTGAATTGTGTCATATTTCTGCTTTTCCTGTGCAGAGCAAAAGCAGAAGTTTAATAAACCGAACACTATAAAAAAAGTGAACTTTTTGAAAATGTTATTTCTTATAACCACTTCTCTGATCAACACAATTTTTCTTTGTAATGTTGAGGCTTGTAAAGGACAAATACCAAAAACCAAATGAGGATGACTTTAGATCCTTGGCAAACTGTTTAAGCAGATAAAGATAAAACAATAAAAATAATGAATAACTTACTGAATAAGTTATGTGGTAAAGAGAATCGTGAGAACAGAACTGAGTCTTCTTCTTTTGATATTTCAACATTTTTTCCACCAATTTCTTCTGTTTGAAATCTGTTGAAAAATATAACTGTGTCTAAAGACAAATTGATTTTATGCAAATTTTAAAAGACATTTTTGCATATTAGAGGAATTAAACCTGTCAAAACAAACCTAGTAACCAGTTGTACCAACCTAGTCACGGTATCATCATCATCATCCATTTTAAGTAACTTGTAATGGTTGTTTAATGGGTGGATACATTTTGGATCACTCTTCCTTGCAGAATTGCTTTAATTCAGCCACACTTAAGGGTTTTTGAACAGGTATGGCCTGTTTTTATTTCAGGTTTTGACTGTGCCACTAAAAAACATTCAGAGGTGAACTTGCTGTTGTGCTATTGATGATTTTCCTGCTCCATAACCTAGTTGCACTGGAACATATGATCACAAACTGATTCCACAGTTTGATGCAATATATTTAGAGTGGATATGTCATGCAGTTTATAGTCTTTGGCTCAAAATACAACAGCAATGTGCAAAAACAACCTGTAGTGAAACAGCAAACAAAGATGGCTTCTCCTCCGAGTAATGAGCTAACGTTACATAAAGCTGGACTTTATTTATCAATTGAATGCTATATTTGTGATATTCAAACATACAATCAGATTGAAACGGAATTCTGTGTTAAAAAAGACACTGAAGATGCACTGTGACAAATTGTAGAACATTTATGAGACTTGACTAACTAGTTTATCACAGAGCTCTTTCAAGTCTCTGGCTCCCCCTTGTGATCAGAATGAGCATGTGCTGATGTGCCTCTATGAGTGGGACATTTTATTTCCTCAAAGTAAAGGATGGAACATTGGAATAGTATATAAAAAGTGCTGATAAAGTCTGACTATAGGCCTTTTTTTGTCTTTTAGTGCCCACCACAACAAACATGATAAACAAAAACATCAATAATAAACACTTTCCTACAGATGAAGATGAACCCTGCACATATTGCAGGGTAAGTTATATAAATTGTTTACCATTTCTGATCACATTATTTAATTCTCTACTACATTTGTCATTTCCAATATATAGACAGAATGAAGGATGAAAAAGAGTGCTGATAAAATGTTGGAAGCAAAGATTTCAGTTTATTTTTATTGTAGTTACACTTTCCACTGATACCCTAAATGCAAGTGGAAAACCCCAAACAAATGTAATTTTCTTCTGAGATAAATGACTCACTCCCTGCCTGCTCTTCACCTACAAAAGGGTCATCTTTTTCATGTCTTCCTGTTTTGATGCATCCGCCCCCAATGTCTGCTTTCACACATTATAAGATCACATTTAAAGCCTCTTGTGTAATGTGGAAGTCAAAAGTAGAGTCAGTGAAATGGCAGCTCAGGTGCCCTTTTAATAGTAGCTTCAACCGTGCGGTTTTAGGCAACTCTTCCACTGTTTTAAGATACCTCCAAGACCCCATAATGACAAAGCACAGAGACAAATTCTGTAAAATTGAACCTGTTTTGTTATTTGATTCACCTACACCTATGTGATTAAGCTGAAGCTACCTCAATGTCTGTTGTTCAAATCAGCTATAGCAAGAGAAAAATGGCACAAAATAATATCAAGGACATTGAAAGACCAAAATCATGGCAAAAGTTGCATAAGAAATGGAAGTGTAAACACATCCTATGAAATGGAAAAAAGGGAAAACATAAAATACAATTTTTTAAAAAAGCAAGAAGAAAAGGAGTTATGTGAAGAAGAACCTCTCCAACACCTACCACTTAAAAACAGTTTTCAAAAAAAAAAAAAAAATCTTGAACTGTGAGTGACAAACTCAAAAAGTCATTCATTAGGCCTACATTGTAAAATGTAATCAATTAGTAATTACACTGAGCTAAATGAAAAGTTTAGTGGGTGTGAGAGTTATAGAAAAGAATCGTTTTCCCACCAAACTTTTGGGATGATATTTCATTTCTATCTGTGTTGTATCTTAAGATTAACAATCAATAACATGTTTTTGTTTTAAGTGTATGATTTGCATATGGATTGCAATGCTTTAGAAGATATCTTATCACAGTTGTTCTGTTCATTTTCTTAGAGGAAGAAATACGTAACTTCTTGAGAAGCAGGAATGACAAGCTAGATAATTATTTCCAAGATTGCAACACCCCGGGCGTCTTTATAGTTTATGGAGGCCTAGAGCTACAAAGTGATATGAAAGTTATAAAATGACACGCGTCTTGCCTCAGACAGGAGTTTCCTCCTCTAAAGCCTACACAGCGCTTTACGCACTCAGACACACCCCGGACTCAGCCGTGGAAAGGATCACTCAGTCATCCCGAGACAAGCTGAACGGTTAGTTTACTTTCTTTTACTCTGTATCAGTTTCAAATTGGTAGCTTAAGGATTAAGGTCACGCTAAGTCAATAGGTTTTCATTGAACAAATAAATTACTGTTACTTTAACGCAAAATTACGCAATAGTAAGACGCGTTAAAGTAGAGCTATGAAAGCTGTGACAAGAGAGCTAAGCAAAATGAGTAATTTCTTGTGGATATCTATGGAGGAGTTTAGCATTTTGGTTACAATTTCTCAAAAATTAATAACGATGTAATCAAGTTAGGTTTTTTTTATGGGTTTTTAGTGGCATGCTGCAAAGTTTACTGTTTCTGTCCACCAAATCAACCAAATCATTTTCTGATCTTAGAGACTAAGTAAACGGACTTTTTAAAATTGAATTTGGCCATTTTATAATGCATGGATTCTTATGGACCATATGCATATGGTCAGGGGAAGTTTAGTAATATAGCAAACTTCAGGAACAGTTCAAAGTGCACTGCAGCAGCATAATAAAGCCAGAAAAAAAAGTTGGACTACTTAAAATACAAAGCAAGAAAAAACAAAAACAAACAATGAGAACAAAGTAAAAAAAAAAAAAAGTGTGGCTTATGAAGAATCATTTTAGGTAAGATTTAGTTATTAATGTAAGTAAAACCATCATAGTTTGACTTTTGTTTATTAGTCTGAATTCTAGTGAGACTTAAATCATTTCACACCTCTTTTTTGGTCATCTATGACAGTGGTAATAATAGGACTGATGATCCCCTTTACAAATTAGCAAACTGTCTATGACTGAATGTATTTTTATTCATATATATATATATATATATATATATATATATATATATATATATATATATACAAGATTAACAGTGCATGAAAGGAATACCGGAATTTAGAAATTAGAAAAGGAATTTTCTATTTTCTGATTTGTAGAGAAGGTCATTCAATAATATGTTTCCCTTAAATTTCCATTTAAAAGAACTCGGCGTATTATGATCTGTGCAAATTTGTCAAAACATGTCCAAGAATAAAAGTGCATGAAAGGAATGCTGCATCACTGTCGGCTATTGGTTTTTGGATGATGTGGACTTCCGCCACAATTTTCTGAAAGGTTGATATAATCAGGGCACGAAAATTGTTTTGCAAATAAACATGCCTTTCCTACAACAACAAGAAAGCTGCAAGGTATTTCAGAGCTAAGCCATTAAATGATTTAGGAGCATTTCAAGTGCATTCTATACATATAATGAGCCAATGGATGGACTTTAGAACTGGGCTGATGTCTCCCACTTTCTTAGCAGGAGTGAGAAGGTGGGCTGCAGCATTTGGCTTATCTGTTGCTGTCTGATCAAGTTTTTAGGCTGACCTGTTGTATTCAATTTGCCTACAGAGAAATGGATGGATGATTCTTTAAAAAAAACCCTCTGCGACATTTATCCTTGAACCCTAAAAACGAAGTCAGTCTTAGAAGTCCTACTTTGTTTCCTTATATGCCTATGAAGCATAAACCAGAAACAGTGATTCATATATTTTTTTTTTACATGTTTAAGGGTCAATTCCTACACAGGCCAGTCATATTATTACTACCCTCGTAGACAACCAAAAAAAGAAGTATGAAATTATTAAACTCTCACTAGAAATAAGATTAATTAAAAAAAAAGTCAAATCTATGATGCTTTTACTTACATTTATAACTAAATGATTCTTCATAAGCCACACATTTAGTCCTAGGCGAACCAGTGAAAGGCTTCTTTAGTCGTACCAGGCTTTCTCTATATTTGATGTTTCCTGATTAAGCATTAGAACACATCAAACTTTATTAGGAGTCCAAACCTTTGTAACAGTTAATGAACTTTGAATACCTTCGAATACCTTATAAATGAGTATTTGTCTGATTTGCACTTGGGATTTTAAATATTTATACTGTTACATTATGAGGTAGATATGATAGAAACCACAAACTCATCACAAGCAATGTATTAGTGCATTACCGACCGTAGGCACACTTTTTTCTCCTTTCTCTTGATGACTAAACTAACCACACTGGGAGGCCTGTTTTCAATCATCTTTCTGCCTGAGTTAACACTTTTACACGTTTTTCTTTTACATTAATCGACTGTAAAGCAACCACAGAAAAAGCATTTTTAGAGGTTTTGGAGTTTGAAAAAGGTGCTTATCTGAATTGGCCGCACGGGTCATTTAAGGCAACTTTATTTTTTTATTAGTGGACTTTGCCCAACAAAGTCTTTTTTATTTAATGCACCAAGAATATGAGGCTGCTGCGAATTAATTAAACAGGAAACCCTAAAAGAAATTTTTTGTGTTTCTGTTTTTTCTGCATTTTCAACTGAAACGGAAATCAGTGTATATAATCTTTAGCATCTTTGGTCCTTAGAATTGGTAAGGCTCATATTGCGCTAATAGGAAATGAGGTTAGTAATTCTTGATCAGATCAGGAAACCATGCAACTAGTAGCAGGCACTTACCAGGCCTGTTGGGAGAAGGAACATTATAGAGTTCAATCTGAAAAACACACACAAAGAGACAATTAGGAGAAATGTATTGATACAATTACTTTGTCTTTGGCTCTCAAACCTCGGCAGGAAACATAGCAATTCATTTTCCCCCCAGACCTGAAACTGATGGTGTAGTGGAGATAGATGAAGTTGGTCAGTCTGTAGACTGCTGTTAGCGAGACGGTATGCTGAGCTTTATGGGGAGATCCAGTGGCCTGTCAGTGAGCTGATACTAGAGCTTCACTCAGGGACCTGGAAGATGGAAGTCCTGTTGGATAACACAGGTTGAGAGAACCTGTCCATGATGAGCAAGCATGAAGCGACAGTGGAGAGGAAAAACTCCCCATTGGGAAAAAAACCTCTGGCAGAACCAGGCTCAACTGGTGGTCTTCTGCCGGACCGGTTAAGATGAGACAGGGAACCCTGTAATAGTCTGGGAGGAATGACACTCTGATAAAGCTTTAGCTACGAAGGTGGAGGAGGGGCTGGAGGTGGGTTGAAACGGTGTCATCTGATTGAAGTCACAGCGCATCCACCGCCTACGCACAGGAGCAGACAAGTGCGTATCGGAGGCCTTTTAAGATAAACTTTGGATGCCAATTGGCTTTCATGGAGCTGTGGTTCAAAGCTGATTGGCTGTGTCGCAGGTGGATGTAGGAAAGGCATGAGTTTCTTCAATTGAACTTCCGCCTAGGCTCCATTTTGCAATCTGTAAATATTGAAGATATGTTCATGGAAATGTCACAAGCACCTATAATTAAGAAATATTTGAAATTCACCATGACAAACGTGATTTTCCTCTGCAATAAATATGCATTCAGGAAAGCTTAGGAGAATTTTTTATTTATCATTTGCATTTTGTTGCATTGGAATGGCGGTATAAGTCAATTTCTCAAAAATAACAAAGGCAAAATAATAAAATCATGAACCAGATACAGACATGAATTAAGTAATTAAGTAATAAGTAGGTGTAAAAACAAAAATGTCTGAAATAGCATAGCAACTGGAGGTAGAAGGGAACTGAGAAACAACTTCCGCCTAGGCTCCATTTTAACAACAGCTGGAGGGGGGCTCTGCGGAAGCGGTCCTTTGTGTTTCTAGGAAGCTTTTCACTAAAGGACAACTTAAGCTATGTAACAGCTTCATGCAAGGGTTGTAAGAAATTAAAGGGCAGTAATTTTTGTTTCCTTACAGATGCTACTGCAGTCAAACAAGGTCTTCCATAGAACTCTAGAAACACTGACAAAACAAACCTTTTCAAACCTTTTCTAATTTGCTCTTTATTTTAGTAATTCAAAGTTTTTTTCTTATAGAAAACATACATGAATGATCACCTTGTCACAATAACCCCTTGTTTTCATAAAAATAGCTGCATAAATTACAATAGCTGCATAAATTAAATGGTTTTTGTTTTTTTTAGCAAAAGAAAAACAGGCTTGCAGTGAGCAGTATGAGCATAAGAAAACTTGGGATAGACTTGCAACCTGTCAAGCTTGCTTTAAGCCTTTATCCCCTAAACTGCAAGGCAAGGCTCCCTGGGACCCTGGTAAACACCTATAGAAGTTGGATGATGTTTTGTTTTTTGTTCAATATGAAATGATAGCGAACTAACATATTCTGCTTCAAGATCAATTATACCTGCAACCTGTTTTAAGTTATAATTGTTTTGACATTTAAATTATACAGTTTCTGTGGTTCCTTTCCAGTAAACTAATAATTGTAAAAAAAAAAAAAAATGTGTCAAAGTGTTAACTCAGGCAGGAAAGTGTTAGAAAATGGGCCTCATGGTGTGGGTAGTTTAGTCATCAAGAGAAAGGAGAAAAAAAGTGTGCCTACTGTCAGTAAAGCACTAATGCACTAATGCATTGCTTGTAATGAGTTTGTGCTTTCTAGAAATCTCATATTCCTCATGATGTAACAGTATAAACATTTCAGTCCCAAGTGTAAATTAGACCTCCTCATCCAGTCTTTTATTGTAGTTGAAAAAAGGAAAGACATCTATCACCAGAACAAAAGATGCACTTCTGTTCTGGTGATAGATGTAATTATAATTTTAAATTCTAGGAGGAGCATTTGTAAGGCTATCCAAAAAAACAACAACAACGTTCTTTCCAAGTTTGAGGATGTTTCGCTTCCCATCCAGGAACCTTTTTCAATTAAATTTGTTTTTTGAAAAATCTTCCTGGATGGGAAGCGAAATGTCTCCAAGCTTGGAAACAGTGTCCAGTATTTTTTTAAAAACTTTTTTGGAATGACTTTGATCTGCATGACTGAGAATCTTCACCAGAATTTGCAAGGCTAAAAAAAGGGAAGGGGAAAACTGTTAAGGCTGGACCACACTGACACGATTTCATCGTCGATTAGATGGATCAGCTTTGTGGCTTGTTTAAGCTGGGTTAATTTTAGGGACATAGTGAATCCTCAATCTCGCAGTCATTGATCTGTAGAGGGATTCTCTACACAGCTAATTATACTGGAAAGGTAGACAATTAGAAATGAGAACACCTTACTTGGAAGGTTCTGATCTTGTTTTGCGCTTCTATAAACCTGCCTTGAATGATCCTATTTTGCTGAAGCTTCTAGACTTTGTTTATTTGCTTGCCACACGTCCCAAAGCTGTGCTCAGATAAGCTCCTTATAGTGACATCATCAGACGTCAGACAACTGTTCCTAAAACTTTAATAAATTGTTGCTGAGGTGTATTGAATACCAATAGCCCAGATCTTTTTCCATTAGGTGTGAATCCTTTACTAAGCAAGAACTTACTTTGCAAACAGATAAATCTTACCTGGTAAGCCAGATTGATTTAATGTTTAGCACTTAGGTTTAGTTGATAATAATAATTGAATTTTATTGATCTCACATTGGAGAAATTTACCTCTACATTTAACCCATCACATTGGGGAGCAGTGGGCTGCCATCGTGGGGCGCCCGGGGAGCAGTGTGGGGTTAAGGGTCTTGCTCAGGAACCCAGAGTGGGAGTCTGTAGGAGTGGGGCTCAAACTCAGAACCTCAGGATTCCAAGCTCTATGCCCTAACCACTAGGCCACCACTCCCCTTACACATTGTCGGGATCTGCTCCGATCAAATCTGTTCTGGAAAGGGAGGGACATTTACCTTCCCATCTGATAGGGTGAAGCAATGTCTTGTGCCCGCCTGCAAAAGTCTGGTTTTAATCAATCACATTAACAAATGGAAATGGACGTTATGAGAACACATTTGCGTCTCCTCTTTCAAAGATAAAATTGTTGATTCCGACATAGATTTGCTCCTGCGCTGCCATTTTCATTTTGGCTCTGCTTTTGGTTCGGTAGCTCTTGCTTTTGTCTCAACCATATATTTGCCTTAAACCATATAATCACAATGTGATTGGCCAACCTGTTTTGGGCCGGTCTTAAAAGGTCAAAGTGGAAGAAGGATAACTTAGATTGCCATGTGTGATGTGAATCTCCAAATACCATGAGAATTCATCTTTTCCCCCAGCTTTTTATTGTCATTACACTTACGCAATTACAGAACAACGAAATTTACTCTCTGCATTTAACATATCCCCTTGGGGAGCAGAGGGCTGCCATTGTGCAGCAACCGGGGAGCACTGTGGGGTTAAGGATCTTTGCTCAGGGACCCAGATTGGCACTCTGTGGGAGTGGGGCTTGAACTCAGAACCTCTGGATTCCAAGCACAATGTCCTAACCACTAGGCTGCCACTCCCCTGAAAGGTTATCTTAACCATTCAGGCAAGATAAAGCCTTTTTCAGGCTGGAACCTGTAGCTTCCTCCAGTGTAAATACATGAGACAATCAAGAGTTTAGCACGATCCCAAATTAGGTACAGACACTTACTGTGGATAGCTTACTGTGTTCTCTGGTAATAAATTGAGACCTTTTACATTAAAGGTTTAACTCCAGTGAGGTGTGTCAGCATCAGCAGGTTTTTCATCACAACACACCAGGATCATAAAATATTCACATTTGGATAATCTCTTGATCATAACCAAATATTGTTTCAGTTTATTCTGGAGTTTGAATGGAGACATTTTCTAAAGTCAATGTGGACGACAGGGGTGATTTTTGTTTGTAACCTGACTTTCAGTATTTTTCCATTAATAAAAAAACAAAACAAAAGAGAGTGCTTAAAAGGTATGCATAAGAAAATGAGTGACACAAAAGCTGCTTTGTACACTTGTTTAATGAAAATTATGAGCAACCCCTTAATTAATGAAATAAGTTATCCACAGTTAAACAGTTGTTTGATCTAGGCAAGATGGTTGTAACTCCAGTGTATGGATTTTTATGTGTGGAGATTCTTGTGAAGTGTGCTGGTTTGCTTTTGGACCTCCGATGTAGGTTACAGATCTTCTTGGGTTGTCAGATCTGCTCCGGGCCCTTCCCCTTCTTATGACGTCCTCATATGGCAACACCACTCAGACAAAATGTCACCTGTTTCTCAAGAATCAGATCTCTTTTATATTCTCAACATATTGATACCTTTATTTTATATTATTTTAAATTTCATTGGTGATATAAAGTAGCCGAAAATAGAAAACAATCATTCTCAGTCTTGAAGGAAATCACTGTGTTCTAAGTAAGGTGACCAGATTTCTGCAATCTAATTGGGACTTTTCCAGCTCATAGATACATTTAAAAACATATTTTTTTCAACACAATGATAACTATAAAATGAAATGGCCTCCAGTTGTTTATACTGCATCCTGGACAGCTGCAGTGCATTGGGTAGCCTCCAGCCTGTATTAATATCTGTGTCACCATTAAAAAAGTTATGTTAGATTTTTATATTCAGATTAAATTACAACCATTAAAACACATCTATAAATCTGGATCATTCTCATGAGCAGCTTGAAGCAGCGACACCAAAAATACATGTTTTGTCATTACACATATCGATAAATGAAAAATAAGCTCTTAGGGCGAGCATAAAAATAATGTGTCCTTTAATAAAGTTATAGTGAAACCTAATAGGAATATATTTTCACAATCCTAAAGCTGATTTTCTATTCATGTGTACATAGATATAGCTGTGCTTTTTTTTTTTTTTAAATAAGCTGTTATTATTTTGATAGGATGTAAATGTAAAGATTGTATGATCCTAGTTATCCCTGTTACAAAAATCCACAACAAAAAGAAAATATTTGGGCATACCATAATAACAGTTTACTTGCAACAGTTTGCTTGCAACATTTCCCCCTTCATTCATAAAATGGTAAAATTGGGGACATTTCCGGGGAAAAGCTTTAGCCGGGGACAGGTGGTCGAAAACGGGGACTGTTCCTGGAAATCAGGGACGTCTGGTCCCTCTAGTTCTAAGACAGACTGAGCTCTGCCATTTTACTACTTTCGTAGAGATTTTAGATGAAGAGGAAAGTTATTCTACTTGTAGAAAACTAATGGTTGTTGTCGGCACTGAGTACAGCTAGCCTCAGTGCTACCCCTCCACCTTTATACCTTGCACTTTGTTCACCAAGAACATATTTTTTCATCTTTGTTATCCATCAGGTAACAATAAATTGCTTTCTGATATGTAAAAACACTTTAGCAACTCTCCTCCAAGCTTATACAGAACCTGTTGACCTATTTTACTTTCACATCCTAATCAAAGTCTGTTGAAGTCTTTATGTGGTGGTTGGACATTATATTAATTATTATTTTCATCTCCCTCAGGTAGACATAATGGCAAACTTCACCAACACGTCTGAAGGAATCTCTGCTGTAAACGGGACCTTTCTGGATTCAGAGTTTCGCTATGTGCTTTTTTCTGTCATGTACAGCATCTTCTTCGTTTTGGGCTTCTTCTCTAACCTTTATGTGCTGTTTGTCCTGTGGCGCCTCCGTGAAGCGAGGGCTATGGGAGAAATCCGCATCTACATGACCAACTTGACCATCGCTGATCTGCTTTTTGTGTCTGCACTCCCCTTCTGGATTAGCTATTACCGACGTGGGGGGGACTGGATCTTCAATGACTTCATGTGCAGGGTGACAGGATCATTTTTTTTCATCAACACCTATGGAAGCATCCTCTTCCTTGGAGCAATCAGTCTTAACCGGTACTGGGCGGTCACTCGCCCTCTTGACGCAGCCTCTTCAGACCACAGGTGCCGCGGGATCATTGTGTGTACCCTAATATGGGCCTCTATCATATCTATGTCCATGCCCTACTTGACAGTTAGAGGTATAAATGAAGACAATACCAAAAACAAAACTCGATGCTTTGAGGGATACCATAATGGAACAAATGATGAAAAAAGGAATATTGCAGTGACGCATTTCTTAATAATTGGGATGTTTTTTATTGTATTTTTTCTTGTTGTGATATGCAACTTCCTCATTGCCCGAGCCTTGATTTACAAAAGTGCACCACAGTCAGAGTTGTACTCTGAGACAATCAAGTCCAACAGATCAACAGCGTCTTCATGTAAAAAGCCCAGAAAGACCAGAGGGGTGAAGAGGAAGGCTTTGCGGATGCTCATAGCAGTGGTGGGGGTGTTTGTGTTATGCTTTGTGCCTCACCACATAGTCCAGGGCCCCTGGACCCTGGCTGTGCTGCAGATAACAGAGGGCTGGGGCCATGTGACATGGGGCCAGAAAACACGGCAGGCACTAAACGATGCACATCAGATCACCTGGGTTCTTATGGGCCTTAACTGCATCCTGGATCCTGTGGTGTATTTTTTTGCCACAAGGAAGTTCAGGAGGTTCATCATGGAGCACATGAGAAAGTTATCAAGGGGTGAGGCCTGCTCCTATACAGCCAACACACAGATATCCATGGACAGCAGAAACCCTAGTCAAAGACTCCACAGTATCCAACAACATCCGAACGAGGAATAACTGAATGATTTCGGACAGAAAAACCCATAAAAACAGACATCCTGTCTTTGACACAAGTCCCACTTTAAGCTCACGGCTCATGGCTCGACTCATGGCTTTTTATTTCTGTGATTTTAATAAGAAGTAAATTATTGGGATTTTATATATTTGTGTTTTGATTTCATGTTTTGCGAGTTTTATGTTTTTTTTACACACCTAGCTTTATTTACCAGATACCACATCAGCTTTTTATTATATGTCTAACCTTGGTAGATCTTGAATGTGATTTTGCATGTACATATTTTTTTTTTTTGGCAGATTTTTAATTTCTTTGTTTTGGTTCTGCCTTTTTATCTTATATTCCATTTTGATACAAAGGTTTTCATGTTAAATAATCACTATCCTTGCCTGCATTTTAGTCCACTTTCATAATGATATAATACGCATAATGCATGACTGCTGTCTAAAAGCATTTCAGTGAGCTGTCTTAAAATAGCTGTTAATAAGGTTTTGCAGAAAAATGCACCGGAAGATTGTAAGTTGTTTATTTTTTTACTATTGTTTACACCAAGCCTCTTTATGAAAATACCTAATCTTTTCCATCTTCCAACTTTTGAATCATTTTGATCTTTAAAAAAACTGCATGTAGTAAACTTCCACTGCAATTCCGCCTTGACCAAGATGTTGCCAAAGAATCATCATTTGTTGTAAGCTGTTTGCTTAGCTAAAATGTACACTTTAAACAAGGGCTTGGCAAAATCAAAGACTAAGTTTGCATTTTTTTTTTTATTGCAACGGGAGCTGTATACCTTTTAGGTTATACCTCTACGAGATATCCATATATAAGGACTGAAATTTTATTTGCAAATGCATTCCTTCTCATTGAGATTGGATTAACTGTCTATAAAATTACATTTTAGTTCTGTTTCCATTGAACTTTGGTGTGGACTTTGACTTAGACTTTCTATCATAGATATAGTGTGATTTACACCAGATGGCTGTTACTATATTCATATGTTTAGGGTCTATCTATTCATATATATATATATATATATATATATATATATATATATATATATATATATATATATATAT